CTGTGTTTGAGGACTGCCTGGTTTCACAAGCTTCCTGGTGACCTCCAGTGAAATGTGTCAGTTCAAGCCTCCCAAGAGGCAGATTAATGTGAGAATACAGCAGCTGTGTGGGTGGTTTGTTATCAGCAATCCCCAACAGTGAGTGTTCCCTGTCCCCAGCTCTTTCTTGGAAGCCTTGTACCCAGCGAGAGCTCTCCCCGGGGGATCTCCAGCAGCTGGCATACAGTAGGCGCCGAGTAATTCCTCACAGAACTGACTTGGAGTTGTGCCTTTGCCCCGTTCATCCTGATCATGAATGGGCAGCATCACTGACATTTAAGCCTTCATTGCTCTTCTGCAAGAATGGAAGCCGCTGGGGGTCATGGTGAGGCCGAACAGAATAGGGACAGGCCCCCGGCGGCTGCTTATAAACACCCAGACTAGGAGGAACAAAAGTGCAGATGACCTAGACGACCTTCCACCTGTGACGCCGAACCGGAAAGGACAAGATATGGGAATGTGTCCATTGCACATACCGAAAAACTTTCAGAAACTCAGGGACCATGACGGGACGCTTATGCAACCTCACATGGGCCTACTAGGCTTTTTTACCTTAGATACTTCTCCACAGCCAAATATTCCTCCCCTTAGTTAAGATAAACACTCCTGTTCCAGAACAACATATACACCCTCCCCCTGAGAATCCAGGGGCGCATGTGCATTTCTCCTCGGAGACACCCGCGCACTATTTCTGCGTGTACCTTTGCTTTGTAATAAAACCTGATTATGTTCTGTTTCTCTGTCCTTCCCTTTCGTAGGTCGCACGGAAAATTTTTCTTTCACGCATAGACCAAGAAGCTGGAACTGCCGCCGGGTAACAATAGGATCAGCATGCTGGGTGAGGGGATTGTGTGGCACCCGGGCAAACTCCGGGTCCAGCTGGGTCACTCAAATGCTCTGCCAGGGACGATCCTGCAGTAGGGAAGGGGGCAGAGGATGGGGAAGAAAAAGAAAGTGCAGGTCCAACTTGCTCTGCAGATTTCTAACTGGTTATGTCTGCAGAAGTAGGTGTGTCAAAGTCCCTCGGTGTTGTGTTTTGCAGCTGAGAAAAAGGAATCCTGGTGTCCAAAATGAGACTATTAAGAACAAGGGATGTGTGGAGATGAAGAACTTTTTCTTTTCATTCATTCATTCATTCATTCATTCATTCATTCATTCATTCATTCATGAAATGGTCTTTATTTGCCATTCTAGGGCCTGGGGAATGCAGAAATGAACATGCAAGACAGTCATGGAACTCGTATTCTAAGTGGGGAGACAGACAACAAAAATGAAAAATTCAAATAGTGAGAGGTGCTGTGAATATAATAAAACAGGGTGAGGAGATAGAAAGCGGCTGCCTTGAGGGGGAGATGCAGTATCGTTACCAACAGGCCAGGCTCGGCTTGCCCTCTCGCATTAAACAAATGACCTGAAAGTCCAAAAAGTTGGTACAAGGATTGGAAGGTTTATTCAGATAACCGGTACTCAACTAAATGTTTGACCAAGCAAACAAACAGAAAAGAGGAGCAGTGGGGTCCAGTTTATCCTAGTCCCAATCAGCAGGGCCAAACTATTCCATTAACAGTAATTGATAAAAGCAGTTCTCCCCACTGTTTTCAGCATAAAGAAGAAAAGTATCCACTAGATTTAAATCAGAGAAACAAAGCATAGCCAGGAGCCCTCTGGGGTGCACTTACATAGTAGAGGATACAATCCAACCAAATAGCAGAAGAGGGCTCAAAGAATCAGAGAAAGGTAAAGAGAATAAAGCATTACCTTGTCAGAATTTAAGCCAGAGACACCAGGAGAGATCCACCAGCAACAGAGACATGGTAGTGAAATAGTCCCAGTGGCCACTTGCCTCTTGCAGCTAGAGTCCTCTCTGGTGCCCAAAGCTTTCCGATTTTGCCAGTGATTAAATTAGGCTCTCGGATTCCAAAGTCATAGAAATGAATAATGTACCTAACAGTAAAGCAAGCAACGCTTTATTAAATGAGGAGATAGACTTATGCATAAAGGGGGGTAGCAACAGTAAAGATAGCCCCCCGAGGGGAGCTGTTCAATCTTTTATAGGGAAAGGAGTTAAGGGGTACAGGCCAGCGTCACTGGAGGTGGTCCATTCTGTTGTTCCTGGTTGTGTCATGGGTTCATGCTCAGTAGGCAGTGGTGTTCATTCATCATTGTCACCCCAGGAGGGTCATTGCAGCAGTCACCTTGATGCTTTGTGCAAAGGTGGGAATTCCTAAAGGGATCTTAAGGTTAAACTGTTTTGCAACTCAATAAATATCTGTTTCCTCTCTTATCTCAGTCTATTTTGTCAGGGTAGCCCACGGGGTAATCATTTGCCCTGGGGGTCTCATGACTGAGGAGTGGAAAAGCAACATAGTGTCCTCTGCAGGGAAAGTGCAGTCAGTTTGGTTCACAGGCCAGCTTTACTCTGTTTCAATATTAGGGTGGGAGGGAGGACATCTTGAGAAGAGGAAATCTGAGCAAAGACAGGTAAGAGTGAGGCATTCATGTGTGATCTCAGCTTAGTCGACTGCATTTTAGGCAAAAGGGCTTCTTCAAACGCATGGAGACTGAGGGCGCTCAGCCTCCAGGGAGGCGCTCGGCCACCTGGGGCTGCCCTGCAGAGGTTGCCCTGGCACTTGTTTCCACCGCTGACGTCCTGAACGTGCCCGCCACAGCCCAACCCTCAGCTGGGTGACGGGGGGCTCAGCCAGCAGGTGGCATCTCCCATGGTTTACTCCCCATCCCTGGAACAAGCAGCCCTTGCCCTCATTTGCTATTCCTGCTATCCCTTCCCACACCATTTTAGTAGTTCCCTGTTGCTAGTGAAGAATTCCTTATATTAAGTATATACGTGATGCTCACAAGCAAGAGTTTTGCTGATAAGTACAAACGTGGTTACACATGCGGAGTCTGTGCTTAGAAAGGGGTTCCAGGAGGCTCAGCGGCAGGAGCTCGAACAGAAGGGAGCTGGTGGGCAGCAGGGGCGAGGGACATGTTCTATTGCTGTCTCTGTGGTCAAGCAAGTCTGGCCTTCTGCCTTCGGCTGGAGGTTGCTGTTACCCTTGAAGACATCAACAGCTGAATCAGCACAAATCAGTGTGAAAGTGATCCAAGAAGGAGTCATCCTGCTTCTGAAGATTTGGGGGATGGCAGCAGGAGGAATCTCAGGTTTCCTAAATGTCCTTTTGAGGCGACTGAGCTTAACCCCATCTTTACACAGGTCAGACAACTTTAATCCATGTGGGGGGTTAGAAATGTTTATTCTCATTTGACTTTAGAATACGGTTTTTAGGTAAATGCATGTATAGGGCAAAAGCCCTCAGGTAGGGGGCCACAGCTCACAGATAGCATGGCAAAAGCCCATCTAATCAACTCTAATCACTGTTTAGGTATGGGATCGTATACTTTAATGATTTTAGAGCTAACAGGTGGTTGTCATACCAATCCTGTTAAGAGATTTTAAGAATTGCTGAAGGGGGGGCCAGCCCGGTGGCGCACTGTGCTAGTGCGCCGCTTGGGAAGTGCGGCAGTGCTCCCGCCGAGGGTTCGGATCCCACATACAGACCGGTTGCGATCCCGTTGCTGGTCCCGGTCCGGTACGGGGGCGACACTGAGGGTTGCGATCCGTTGCCGGACACGGAAAAAGACAAAAAGAAAAAAAAGAATTGCTGAAGGGAAAGTTGTGAAAAAAATGTTTGCTAGGGGAAAGCTGTCTGTTGGGGGAAACTTTAGAGATAATTGTACTTAGATTTTATCATAAGAATGTAACTTTTGCTTAAGGAGAGGTTATACTTTAGATAATGAGCCACTTTGACCAACTTAGCTTTTCACTAATTGTACTTTGGAATGTCACATTGTTAATTTTACTGATGTTGCTAGTTTCCATTGTTAAGCTATACTTAGCCATAGATAACTTTTGTAACACTGCCCATGTCCTTGTGTCCTTTTGTAATGATTGAATCAACTGAATTCTCTTGTGAAACTTCCTTGTCTTTACAATAAAAAACAGAAGCTAACTTTGAATGGCTGCTGCACCCAGTTTTCTCCTTCTAACAGAGGAGTTGCTGGGGTGCAGACACTTTGGGCTTCTCAATGCATTCACGGTGCTTTGAGTAATCCTTTTTTAATCTCCATTACACAGTGAGAAGTGTAACAAATCCACAGATGTCCCGCCTGGCTCTTCTCACTGTCTCTGGATGAATGGAGTCCCCTCAGGACAATATAACACAATTGTCTGCAGTGGAGAAGCTGGATGAAAGTGAAGGAAGCCCTTGGAAGAAGAGCTGAATGAACTGCCACAGCTTGGCAAGTTTAGCTGGGGTTGAAGTTGGAAATGCCATAAGATCAATGGACATTTTCCTTCTGGGGCTGGACATATGCTGGATGTTTTTACTTTCTACTCTAAATCTCCTTCTTCTATTGCAATTCATATCACAAGCTAGTTGCCCCAAGTCCCACAGTGGGTAACACATATATTTAAATGAGGGATATTTTAACTAACCAAAAAAAAAAAAAAAAAAAAAAAAAATATTCAGAGGCAGAAAAAATTTTTTTAAATGTAAACCTTTTTTCAAAAAAAAAAAAAAAATATTCAGAGGCAGAAAAAATTTTTTTAAATGTAAACCTTTTTTCAAAAAAAAAAAAAAAATATTCAGAGGCAGAAAAAATTTTTTTAAATGTAAACCTTTTTTCAAAAAAAAAAAAAAAATATTCAGAGGCAGAAAAAATTTTTTTAAATGTAAACCTTTTTTCAAAAAAAAAAAAAAAATATTCAGAGGCAGAAAAAATTTTTTTAAATGTAAACCTTTTTTCAAAAAAAAAAAAAAAATATTCAGAGGCAGAAAAAATTTTTTTAAATGTAAACCTTTTTTCAAAAAAAAAAAAAAAATATTCAGAGGCAGAAAAAATTTTTTTAAATGTAAACCTTTTTTCAAAAAAAAAAAAAAAATATTCAGAGGCAGAGAAAATTATTTTCAATGTTACACATTTATTCAAAAGTACATAAAACATGGTGCATTATATAATGTAAACACTCTAGAATTTGACTTGAGTAATAAAACATTCTACTAACAGAAATATTGCTCATGAAGATTTTCATGCCCATCATTCCCAAGTCAGAGTCCCTCATTTATGTCACAACAGCAAGATGGCAGAGAATCACAATTTCCATATAATCTACATTGATCACAGCACTGGAGGGCACGGCAAGACTCAGTAGGGATGACTTTGCACTGGTTGACTTTGGCCTTGTCCCGCGCGACCTCGCTCCGATTATTTACAGCCACAGCATCAGGTTTCTTGGCAGCTCTTAAGAAAAGACATACACAAAGCATGGGCTTAGGATTTTTCTAATTGTTATTATACTTGTCAGGGGTATCAGGTATAGTTAGTGATATAGCCAATGGAACATGTGACACCAGCCCTAGATTAAAGTTCTCTGCCCCTGTCCCAAGTTCCTCTCTAATCCCTTCCTCTCCTACAAATATTATAAACGTAAAATGGGGTTACAAAAGTAGAGTGAATTGCAAGCAGAGATCACCCAGCTTGTTACTGCAGGCCCTCGAGACGCAGGAATGATGGGGAAGGTGTATAGTTGCCTGTGCCCTGGGCTCTGGGAGTTAATTTGCCTTCCAACTCCCTAGAATGGGGACACAACTGCTTCTAACAACCAATCCCTCCCACACTTTCAGGGTCCTCTCCCCAAACTCTAATCATTTCTTGTCTGACCTACACTCCCTTGTCAGCTGTCCCCAGGATCTTCACACAGCTCAGCATCCCAAAGTCCTATACTTTAAACCCACCTAACTGTTCTATGGACACCAGCAATGAATGAGGAATCACCCTGAGGGCTCCTAACACAGGCAAGAGGAGATCGATCCAGCCTGCCTTCTGCCCAAGTATGAGGCTCATTCACACAGCACACTCCACAGTCTACAGCACCCAAAATAAAGGGAGACTCAGCGAAGGTGCTGAGTTAAATACCTGATGTAAACTCCGTGAGATCAAGTGACAGCAAAACGGCGGTGGCACACAGAGCAGAGCCCCCAGGCTGAGAACATTCTGCAGGTGAGCCCAGCCAGAAGGAAAAAAAAATTCGACACAAACCTGCCTTTGTTTTTTCAAAACTGCCTGTTGTTCGTGACCTCACACAGGGTGTGGCCACAGCAACAAGAAATGACCCTGTTCAAGCAGAGGGCCCCAGGTATCCCACTGGAGTGGGTGCTGACTCACTTTAGTTCACCGGATACTTTGAAGTAAAGGCAGATGACAATACATATCAGCACGATCGTGGCAATCAGTAAGCTACTACCAATGCAGATCATAATCTTCGTCTGGAGATCAAACATCTTTGACACACCTAGACAGAGAGTGCAGGCAAGCAGTGAACATGGCTCCCCACCTCACACAGCCACTTTGCAACCTCAATATGCTACCTTCAGTGGATGGACCCCAAAAACAGATCTTCATGTGTATAAACAATGAGTGGATGTTCCTAGAGAGACCTAGGATCCTAAGCTGGCCAGAGGGTGGGTCAAAGGGTCTATTCACGGATGAAAAGGGACTGAAATGCAAAATCCAGAGAGAAGGAAATCAGGACAGACAATGTGGGAAGAATCTCTACCTTTTGCAGGCAGTAAATAACAAACAGGCCTGCAATGGAGCTCATGGTTTTACTTACAAACACCTGGGCCTCCTGAAATATATTGTCACAGAGTCAGAATTCTCCCTTTGCTAAACATTAGGTTTGTAAATATTTTATGGAATTCAGGGAATTACTTTTTTTCAGTATGTTATTGTCTAACAATACTGAGAATGTGCAAACCCATTTTGTAAGTAATATGTTTTAGGAAAAAGTTTTCTCAATTGTCTTACTAACAACTGGGTCATGGCATCTCAGGATTTAAGGAGCTTCTAGAAGCTTCCAGCCAAATCCTTGTCCAGTCTCAGAGATGGGTAGTGGCCAGCACAGGCCAGGAACCAGCTTCTTCAGTAGCTTCTTGTCCCTCATTCTGTTTTTCTAGTAGACAATAGACCTTGCTCTGGCATTTTTCCTCCTAAATCCTCAATCATTCCAGGAAATCCATTTTGTCTGGAATAAGTAATTTGCTTACTTTAACACTCTGAAATTGGGGAACAGTGAGCCAGGAGGGAACAATAAACAGTATAACTGTAACCATACTTATTACAGTTAAACCATCCAGAGCTGGATGAAGGTCAACTGTAAAACAAACAACTACAAAGAAGCAAACCTTTACGAAACAGGATCTTTTGTCAGGAATTTCCCATACCTGTAATCCAAGAAAGAGGGATATAATTATCTTTGTTAAGAGTAATTAAAATCTCAATGTTGGAGAGCTCGCTTTTGGTAGCATAGTCTTATGCCACAGCTAACAGAGTGGACTAGCTCTAACTTTTATGTCATAGGCTGTGTGACATCATTGCTCTGGTCACCAGCTCTTTTCAGAGTTCTGAATTCTGTTTCATGCTTAGGTATATTTTAGCTCCCATGAAATATAAATACTATTTTGAATCACTTAATTCTAAGTCTTTTACATTTTCAGGTCTTATTTCCTTTCCATTAATTTTCAGGGTTTGACTGCTAATCAAAACTGGGTTTTGATTCAGTTATTTTTGCCCTTTAAATTAATTTTTTTTAATTGACATGCAATAATTGTACAATTTCTGAGATACTGTGGAACATACTATAAAGCATATGTACCTCACAGGGCCTGGTTTTCCAAAGCCTTGCAGTTTCAAATATTGACCTTGCGGAGGACTGGAAATTTTCCTCAGGCTATAAAGTCTCTGGTGTAAGATAAAGATTTGTGACACAGTAAGGTTGCTGGCTCAAGGACAGACTAGTTACTGATTGTTATGTAAAGCTACTGAGAAATTGCTGTAAGATCACTTAATTGTCTAATGGAATGTCCCCTGACTTGTTTCACTGAAAGTTACCAGCCTATATTGTTAAACTATAACCCCACCTATGTTCTCTTCCTGTAACTTCCTGGTCTGGAAGATAAATGCAGGAAGAGAACCCTAATTCGGGGTTAATTTTCCAAGGAAGGGATGCCTCTCACCTGAGAGTTCCGGTTGGAGATTAACCACTTCGGGATCTTCCACTGCTCAGAAGAGATGGGCTTTGAGTAATGTTTTGTGGCTCCGTCACCCAGGGGAAATGGGGTGACAAACCCGTGGGGGGCAAAGCGACAGGATACAGTGTGATATTTCAATGCATGCATACAATGGGTAATGTTCAAATCGGTGCAGTTAGCATATTCATCGCCTCAAATCTTTATCATTTCTTCGTGTTGGTTACGTTCAAAATCATCTCTTACAGCTATTTGAAAAAATACAATGAATCATTTTTTACTATAGTTGCTATGTAGTGCTAATGAACTTATTTCTCCTATGTAGTTCGAATTTTGTATCCATTATCCATCCTCTGTCTACCACTCCTCTCTCCCCTTCCCAGCCCCTGGAAACTTCAATTTTATTCTTTCATAATATCAACATTTTTTTTATGAGATCAACTTTTTTAGCTTCCAAATATTGGGAATATGAGCTTTCTGTGCCTGGCTTATTTCACTAACATTGTCCCTCAGGCTCATCCATGATGCTGTGAATGATAGGATTTCATTATTTTTTTATGGCTGAATAGTATTCTGTTGTGTATATACACCACATTTTCTTCATTCATTCATCTGTTGATGGACACTTAGGTTGATTCAATTTATTGGCTATTGTGAATAGTGCTGCAATAAACATGGGACTGCACATATCTCCTCTACATACTGACTTCCTTTCCCTTGGAAATATACCCAATAGTGGGACTGCTGGATCATATGGTAGTTCTATTTTTAGTTGTTTGAGAAAACTTCATACTATTTTTTGTAATGGCTGTATTAATTTACATTCCCACCAACAGTGTGTAAGAGTTCTCTTACCTCTGCATCCTCACCAGCATTTGTTATTTTTTGTGTTTTTGATAATAGCCATTCTAACTGGTTAGAAATATCTCATTGTAGTTTTGATTTACATTTCCCTGATGATTAGTGATGGGGAGAATTTTTTCATATACCTGATGGCCATTTGTATGACTTTTTTGAGAAATGTCTATTCAGGTGATATGGATCGTTTCCCCCAAGTTTTATGTATTAGTATACCCCCACTAGGACTATTGAGAAGGTGGGAAATCCTATTATGGTAATTGAAAGGTGGGGCCTTGAAGAGGTGATTAGATTCTGAGGACCATGACTACAAAATGGATTAATAATGGTGGTCATGGGAGTGGCTCTGAGGGCTTTAAAAAGAGAATGAATGAGGAGGTTAGTCTCTCTCTCTCTCTGCTCCACCATTTCCTGCCATGTGAGACTCCAGCATTGCTGTAAATCCACCACCAAAAAAGACCCTCACCAGATGTGTTCCCTGGACTTTGGACTTACCAGCTTCTGAAACTGTAAGCAATAAGTTTCACTTTCTTACAAATTACCCAGTTCCAGATATTTTGTTATAAGCAACAGAAATGGACTAATATAGAAAAATGGTGCCAGAGAAGTGGGGGGTGTTGCTTATAACAAATACTTGAAAACATGGAAGTGGCTTTGGAACTGGGTGCTGAGGAGAGGCTGGAAGAATTTGAAGGAGCAAGCTAGAAAAAGCCTAGATGCTGGTGGGAGGTTAGAAGAACACCAGGTAAAGTTTGGAACTTCTTAGAGACTGGTTAAATGGTGGTGACCCGAATGTTGATAGAAATATGGACAGTAAAGGCCATTCTGAGATCTCAGATGTAAATGAGAAGGTACTTATTGGAAATGGGCAAAGATCACCCTTATTATGAACTGGTAAGGAACTTGGCTGCATTGTGTTCATGCCCAAAGTTGTATGGAATGTGGTACTCAAAGATGCTAATCCAGATATTTGACAGAAGAAATTTCTAAGCAACAAAACATTAAGGAAGCTGCATGGCTACTTGTAACAGCCTATGCTGAGTTACATTAGCAAAGGCATGACATAAAGCCAGAATTTAAAAGGGAAGCCGAGCATAAAGATTTGAAGCCTGGCCATATAGCAGAGAAGCAGAGAGCATTTTTAGGAGAAAAATGTAGTAGTGCTAAGATTAGTACAAAAGAATGGGATTATCAAGAGGGGGGAAAATACCCTGAAGGCATTGCAGAAGCCTCTAGGGCCAGCCTTTCTATCACAGGTCTGAAGGCCTAGGGAGACAGAATGGTCTTGGGGAACATGCCCAAGGTGTCCTCCACAGGCTTGCTGTTCGGGGCTACGTTGGGAAGCTGCTTCCAGCTCCAGCACCCCAAATGCTTTAGCTGCTCCAGCTGTGACTAAATTGGCCCCAAGTGTGGCTGGACCCACAGCTTTGGAAAATATAAGCTGGAGGCCTTGGCAGCATCCATGTGGTGTTAGATCCTTAGGTTTGCAGAATGCCAGAGCTCTGAAGGCTTGGGAACCTCTACTCTGATTTCAAAGGATATATGGAAAAGTCTTGGGGCCCAGGAAGAGATCTGTTGCCAGGACAAAGTCACCACAGATAGCCTTCAGTAGAGCAATGCTGAGCTGAAATGTGGGGTCAGCGTTGCAACAGAAAAAACCCAACAGCACCATGCCTAGTGGAGCCACGAGAGCAGGACCACCATGGAGACCCCAGAATTGTAGAGCTGCCAGCATACAATGCCAGCCTGCAAGAGCTGAAACATCACCTAAGACTAGGAAAGCCATAGGAGCAGAGCTTTCCAAAGACTTGGGGACCCAACCCCACACCAGTGTGCAGAGGACGTAAAACATAGAATCAAGTTACATGATTCACCAGCTTTGAGATTTAATGCCTGTCCTGCTGGGTTTTGGACTTGTTCAGGACCTGCTACCCCTTTCTTTTGGCTTAGTTCTCTGTAGAGGATTCATAAAGCAACTGTACCTCACAGGGCCTGGTTTTCCAAAGCCTTGCAGTTTCAAATATTGACCTTGTGGAGGACTGGAAATTTTCCTCAGGTTATAAAGTCTCTGGTGTAAGATAAAGATTTGTGGCACATCAAGGTTCCTGGCTCAAGGACAGACAAGTTACTGATTAAGATGTAAAGATACTGAGAAATTGCTGTAAGAAGGGAATGTTTGCTAAGATCAAGCTTTTGTTGATAGGACCACTTAATTGCCTTACTGGAATGTCATCTGGCTTGTTTCACTGAAAGTTACCAGCCTATATTGTTAAACTATAACCCCACCTATGTTCTCTTCCTGTAACTTCCTGGTCTGGAAAATAAATGCAGGAAGAGAACCCCAATTTGGGATTAATTTCCCAAGGAAGGGATGCCTCTCGCTTGAGGATTCCATGGAAGTTAACCACTTTGGGGCTTCTCACTGCTCAGAAGAGATGGGCTTTGAGTAATCCTTTGTGGCTCCTTCACCCAGGGGAAGTGGGGTGACAAATCTGTGGGGGGCAAAGCAACAGTTCTCCCTTCTTGAACAGGAATAGGTACCCTATGCTTCTCCTACCACTGTATCTTAGAAGTGGATGACTTGTTTTGATTTCAGAGATGGGACTTTGAGACTTTGGACTTCTGAGTTGAAACAAGACTTTGGGGATGGAATGAACATATTTACCTGTGAGAAGGACATAAACTTTGGGGGCCAGGGGCAGAATGATATGGATTGTTTCCCCCAAGTTTTATGTATTAGTAGCTTGATCCCCACTGTGACTGTTAAGAGGGTGGGAAATACTGTTAAGAGGGTGGGAAATATGGTAATTGAAGGGTGGGGCCTTGAAGAGGTGATTACATTCTGAGGACCCTGCCTAGTGAATGGATTAGTAATGGTGGTCATGGGCGTGGTTCTGAGGGCTTGAAAAGGAGAGCACATGAGAGTCTCTCTCTCTGGGCTTCATAATTTTCTGCCATATGTGATTCCTGGGTCACTGTCACCATTACCAAAGGCTTCACCAAATATTTTCCCTGGACTTTGGACTTCCAGCCTCCAAAACTGTAAGCAATAAATTTCATTTTCTATATAAATCACCCAGTTTCAGGTATTTTGTTATAAGCAACAGAAATGGACTAATACATCAGCTCATTTGCCCATTTTTACTTGGATTATTTGTGGATTTTTTTGTTATTGAGTTGTTTCAGTTCCCTGTATATTCTGGATATTAATCCCCTGTTGAATGGTTTGCGAATATTTTCTCCCATTCTGTTGGTTGCTTCTTTGCTCTATTGATTGTTTCTTTGCTGTGCAGAAGCTTTTTAGTTTGATGTAATTCCATAGGTCTATCTTTTCTTTTGTTGCCTGTGCTTTCTAAAGTCTTCTCCATAAAATTTTCGCCCAGACCAATATCTTGGAGTTTGGTCTACATAACATATCTCTTATGTTTTCTTTTGAAGTTTTATAGTTTCAAGTCTTACATTTAAGTATCTAATCCATTTTAAGTTTATTTTGGTATATGGTGAGAGATAGGGGTCAAGTTTCTTTCTCCTGTATGTGGATATACAGTTTTCCCAACACTATTTGTTTTAAGAGGTCATCCTTTCTCCAAGGTATGTTCTTGGCACCTTTGTCAAAGATCAGTTGGCTCTAGGAAGTGGATCTATTTCTAGATTCTCTATTCTGTTCCATTGGTCTATGTATCTGTTTTTACGCCAGTACCATGCTGTTTTGGTTACAATAGCCTTGTAGTACAGTGTTTTCATATTTTGAAGGCATGTAGTGTGATGCCTCTAGCTTTGTTCTTCTTGCTCAGGATTGTTTTAGCTATTTGGGGTCTTTTGTAGTTCCATACAAATTTTAAGATTCTTTATTTCCACAAAAAATGTCATTGGTATTTTTGTAGGGATTTCCTTTAATCTGTAGATCACATTGGGTGGAATGATAATTTTAACAATATTTATTTTTCCAACCCATGAACTTGGGATGTCTTTCCATTTTCTTGTGCCCTCTTCATTTTCTGTAATCAGTGTTTTATAGTTTTTATTGTAGAGATATTTCACCTCCTTGGTTTAATTTACTCCTAGGTATTTATTTTTATTTTTTATTTTTGTAGCTATTGCAAATGAGATTGCTTTCCTGATTTCTTTTTCAGCTAGTTTGTAATTGGTGTATAGAAAAGCTACTGATTTTTGCATGTTGATAAACGGAATTCGTTTATCAGTCCTAAGAGTTTTTTGGTGGAGTCTTTAGGTTTGTCTATATATAAGACCATGTTATCTGCAAACAGGAACTGATCTTTGACAAAGGCAAGAAGAACACACACTGGGGGAAAGACTGCCTCTTCAATAAACGGTGCTGGGAAAATTGGACATCCACATGCAGAAGAATGAAACTGTACCTGTACCTCTCACTATACACCAAAATCAACTCAAAATGGATTAAAGACCTGAATACAAGACCCAAACCCATAAAATTACTAAAGGAAAACATAGGGCAAACACTCCAGGAAGTAGGACTGGGCAAAGACTTTCTGAACAGAACCCCAAAAGCACAAAAAGCAAAAGAAAAAATAAACAAATGGGATAATATCAAACTAAAAAGATTCTGCACTGCAAAGGAAACAATTAACAGAGTGAAAAGTCAACCTATGGAATGGGAGAAAATATTCACAAACTATAACTCTGACAAGGATTTAATGTCCAGAACATACAGAGAACTCAAACAAGTATACAGCAAAAAACCAAATGATCAATTAAAAAATGAGCAAAGGAGATGAATAGACATTTTTCAAAGGAAGACATACAAATGGCTAACAGAAAAAATGGTCAACATCACTAATCATCAGAGAGATGCAAATTAAAACCACATTGAGATATCATCTCACCCCAGTTAGACTGGCCATTATTAAACAGACCGTGAATAACAAATGCTGGTGAGGATGTGAGGAAAGGGGAACCCTCCTACACTGTTGGTGGGACTGTAAATGAGCACAGCCACTATGGAAAAAAGTTATGGAGGTTCCTCAAAAAACTACAGATAGAACTACCATATGATCGAGCAATCCCACTACTGGGTATATATCCAAAGAAACAGAAATCATCACGTCAAAGGGATACCTGCACTCCCATGTTCATCACTGCTCTATTTACAATAGCTAAAGTATGAAACCAACTTAAGGGTCGTTCACCAGATGTCTGGATAAGGAAAATGTGGTATATATACACAATGGAGTACTACACAGCCATGAAAAAGAATGAAATTCTGCCACTTGCAGCAACATGGATGAGTCTAGAGAAAATTATGTTAAGTGAAATAAGTCAGACTAGGAAAGAGAAATACTGCAAGTTCTCATTTATAACTGGTTGCTAAGAAAGAAGAAAAGAAAGAGAGAGAGAGAGAAAGAAAGAAGAAAAGACCACAACAATTCATTCAACTTTTGGAAGGACAGAACAATCCTAAGGTTACTAGAGATTGGCAGGGAGGCAGAGAGATGGGGTGGGAAGGATGGGGTTTGGGGAGGGACAGGTCAGGTAAAGGGCATAAAGAAAAATCATGACTTGTAATAATGAATATGCTAATAATAAAATAAAATAAAATAAATTATAGCATAATTTTTATACACCAAAAACAAAAAAGGAGAAAATAATTTTGTGTTCACTAAAAATAAAATAGAATGAAAATTATTTTTACTTTTATAATCATCTTTAACAGTTGCATTTAAAAATAGTTTCCAGGCCAATATTTAAATCCTGAAATTCGATTTGCCTCGTGAGGGACAAAGAGTTGGGGTCTCTATTCAAGTGATGTTTACTGACATTGTGTGTGCCACTTACTATTGTGTGAGGGAATTAAACGAGATAATCTATATAAAAACCTGTAGGTCAGAGCATGTAGTAAAGCCCCAAAATTGCATTATAAACTTTTATTATTTCCAATATGCAAAATACATAAAACTTCATATTTTAATTTATAAAGAGAGTTTAGTGTAGAATTTTTCCATAGCAGACTAGAGAAAAAATAAAACTATAAGAGGCTGAATTATGGCTTAAAGAGGCTCATGTGTAAGCACAGTCTTGGGCTTGTACACCATTTGTAATGCACTTCCATACCAAAAAATGTGTTCGAAGTTCTAGACTGTCAAATTAACTTTTGGAAAATTAACCAGTGTGAGTTCATTGACAGAGCCCAGAAGTTGCAATAAGGACTGCATTCTAGTCTGTAAACTTTGACTAGTATGACCATCTACCAACTCACCTCCACTCTATTAGCTCTAAATTTGAATATGCATAAAAATGAGAAAGGTGATCTAGATTGCTTTTAAGATCTCTAAAGGTCTGACCTTATATGCCTACTGGTTTTATCTTTTCTCCCTTAAATGTCTGGCATTAATATCAGAGAATTACTAAATACTGCAAAAGCTGAGAAAATAAAAACACTAATTCCGAAGAACATTTTCCTGTGTAGAAGTCACAAACCTGTTATCCAGAACAGTACAAACATTCTTGCCCCTGCAGGTTCCACAGTACTCCTCTCCTAGATATACCTCTGTAGAGCTAGGGCTGGAATTCAGACTCCTCGAGCCCATTGTCCAGACTGGGTCACAAACCCTTCACATGCAAGTCTACGAGCTAGGTACCAGGAAAAGGTCCTTGGAGCGTGGCTGAAGAAACAATAGGCTTTATTTTAGACGCGAGCTCTGCCAACCAGCAGTTCAGAGCTGCTGCCTTAAACACTGAAGAGCACACAAAAATAGCAACAAGCAAAGGATGCACAGGAGCCCATGCCCCCTAACTCTACTCCCACACAGCTTGTTTACAAAGGATGTTTTGCACCACGCCCAGCTGGACTTGAGGGGAGGGGTCCTGACTAAACTACTCTATTTTCCTCACAACCTCCATATTTCTTGCTGAACTTAAAATGCCAGTAGAAACGATTTCTTCACCTCCTTTAGGGTCACACCTCAGGTAAAGGAAGCAGGGGTTTTCATCTTGGCTGCTCAGGCTTCTCTTCAAAATCAGGAGATCCTGGCTGAGAACAAAAGTGTTGAAAACATTACACAGTATAGTTCTCCCAACACTGCTCATAACCCACGCTTTAGGCCACGGGTATTTCTTCTCACTTCCACTTGCCCTTGAGGTTCAAGCACCTTCCCGAGAGCCCAACAAATGCTCAATCCAGAATTGGTGAGGAAATGGAGGCTTCAGACGTCAGAGCTCTCCCTCTATTTTTCCCTCAATCACCGACATCCTGCTCAGTCTCTCTAATTGATTCTCAGTGAATGAAGTAGATTCACTGCACACCTACTGTGCACACAGGAGCGGGAGCAGAACACAGCAAAAGAGAAAAGCGCATCTTTTTCGAAACTAAGTGGACGACGGTC